AGGGAGTATCCCTCTATGTGGAATGGGCTCCCAAAGTCCACACCTATGAACTAGTAGTACAGGAGGTCCCATAGACTTGAAGAGGCCAGCCTGGACTCCTGAGGGAGTGCCAGGATAGGCTCCAAAGCTACGCAGAGAAACCCTGTCTAGAAACACCTCAAAAAGAACACCTGTTTTTGGACAATGAAGATAAAATTATACAATGTAAAAAAGAAAGTATCTTCAACAAATAGAGATGGCATAACTGGGTGCTGGTATGAAAAAGACTGCAGAGAGATCCTTATCTATCACCAAGCACAAAACAAAAGTCTAAAAGTATCAAAGACCTCAGCATAAAGCCAGCCACACTGAACCTATTAGAAGACAAAGTGTGAAAAACCCTTGAATTAACATTTGAGTTTATATCAAGAGCATTAAAAACAACTTAAAACAAGTAACTTGGACCTAGAACTGAGATTTTTGCTCAATGAGACATGATATTTTGAAGAGTCAATATACCCCAACTGTAAAATAACCACATATAAGTGCTTTGTAAATGTATGTATTTAGGAAGCATCTTTAGCAATGCATTTCCATTACGTTTTTTCCAAGGTCTAAAGTTAGGTATTTCCTTCACATACTCCCTCCTCTGATCACCAATCACTTGCTACTTAACTATTTTTGCTTCAGCATTTCCATTCTTCTCTTCATACCACAAGGGTTCTATTGATAGACATCTAGGCTGTTACCATTTCTGACTATTGTGAATAAACCAACACTGAACATGAATAATCAAGAAATTTCTATGGTAGGATATGCAGTTTGTTAGGTATATGCCTAAGATTAATAGTCATAGAGGATAGTATTGCTATCATTCCAGAAATATAGTGTATCTCCACCCTAATTTCCATAGGGCCTACAGCAGTTTGTGATCCCCTTGACTCACATATATTCCAGCATTTGTTGGAGTTTATGTTCTTGTATACGATGATATCGCAGGGAAGTTTTAAGTTGTATTTCACTGATTACTAAGGAGATTGAACATCTTTATAATCTTTCTCAGCCATTTTTATGTTATCTTTTCCGAATTCTCAGTTTAGTTACATGTGTTTTAAAGTGGGTTGTTTGCTTTATCAATAGTTAAATCAATGTTTGCTTATTAGACATTGGGACCTCTATTTCCTGTTATCTCAACTTCTCTGGTTTTGGAACAGTTGAGAATATTTGAGATACAGTCTTTAAGCCACTCAGTGTTGACGTGCGAATGTATTATCTACAGTATTTGTGGCCCATGCACCAAGCAGCTTCCCTCACCCTACTGGGCACCCATCACATGAAAAGGGTTCATGCTCTTTGTGATTTGGGACATTTCCTCTGACATATCTCTCTGTCTTCTTGGGGATACTAGGTATCTACCCATTTCTCTCTCATCCTTGCTGTCTCTTCCAACATGTTCTTTGATTACTCCGGGAGCTTGCTCTTCATAGTCTTCATGTGCCTTCTTCAATCTTTTTTCTTTCCTCTGACTTAGAGATTCAATTGAAACTAATTGTCTTATTGCAAATGGCTTGGCCCCAGGACAGCTCAGTGGCTAAAGATGGACACTGGATTATCAATTGCCCATAGATTGTGATGATTTCAGCTATATCACAAGCACATAATCCCAAAGTCACTTATTTTTAAACTCTTTCTGTTCTCCACTCTCAAAAAATCTCTTATATCTCCATTTTTCTTTGATACCTACTCCTGTTCTATTGGAACCTTCTTTGTTTTCTGCATGCTCTATTCCCTTCGTCTGATCACTGGCTGTAGTTTTTACCAAGATTCAAATATCTTTGCAGTGTGGGTAGTATTAAAACTGTGTTATTCTGTTGTACTCTATAAATAAGGTGCTTCTGGGGTTGGATTTTAGCCCTGACTCTAAATACCTGAGCATGCTGTTTAAAAGTTTCTTTTGAATCTGTTCTGTGTGTAGCTGGCCACCTGAATCTCTAAGACAGTGAGAAGGAAAGCAAAACCAATAGCTCAGGAAGGAACACTGTGTGGTTTAAAAAATATAAAAAGCAATATTTCCCCAGTAGGAATCCCAGGTGCTAATCTACTCCCTTTCTTATGGCACTCAAACTTTAATAAATTATAAAAATTATGTTAAAATTTTAAGACTATTTCCTACAGTTTCTGTAGCTCTGGATTTGTAAATTCATTGGATGTGATTTAAAAATTGGTGAAATCTAGTACAAACTGTCAGGTTGAAATTTTTAACAAAAAAACTTGACAAAGTTAACTAACGTACAACCTGATTATGTGTACTTGGAGTCAACTCTTATTTAGAAAAATATATTTGAAACAGCATACTGTACATGTTACTTGGATTAGATTCTTATTTCTGGAATAAAAGACTTACTATAGCAAATGTTTGTTAAAGTTTTATAATTCCTAAGGGGCTAAGAGTCTATTCATGATAACAGAGACTGATTTAGAGATACATGTGTGATTAGTTATGTCACTGCTGTGTTCAACCCTAGGCATCTAGAAAATATAGATAAAGAACAATGTGTGTTTAATCATTAAGGTATGTTTGTTAAACAAATATATAAATTCCTAAAGTCCATCCAGGCTACCACAAACTGACATGAAGACAGACATATACCTTCTTTGTCTTTGCTAACTATGTTAATCTTGATGTATTTGAATGAGGATCATCAAATGGTTCATAGAAAACCACAAATCTATCTTATTTGAGTCTTTGCTTTTTGCTTAATTTGGGGAGCTACATCATTGGTACCTTTAAATAACAGGTCTTAAGTAGACTCCAGTGATATTTTGTTCTTGTCCTTTATCTCCACATAGTCATCTCCATAAGATGAGGGCGGTGTCCACACATTGAAGTTTGCATTGCAAGTGTCTAGGCTGCAGCCCCAAAATTTCTGATTCTGAGGGTATGAATATTTGTATTTCTAACAAATTTCCAGGTAGTGCAGAAATCACACTTGGAGAATTTCTTGGTGAGGGGTTATAAGATTATATATATATATATATATATATATATATATATCATCATCATCATCATCAAAGAAATGTGTGAAGCAAGTCACTGAAAATAAGTATATTTGTTTTTTACACATAAGGTATAGTTAATGAATTAAACAATATCCCTCAAGCCCCTCAAAGAGATCTGCTGACTGTGGAACTTAAGGAACTTAATAAAAATGCTTCCCCTGCTAAACAAAACTACAAGCTTCTGGAATCAGCAGCTGAGGCCATCCACAAATAAGATGGGAGAAACAGACTCCACATGAATCTTACATCAACTGTGGTCTTGATGATTACTGCTTCACCCAATACTAGCTTCCTGCCAAAACTTTGGACACTGTTAGGTTGAATGCCCTACTATGCCTGGGTAAGGTAGGTCAGTTTCTCAAGTTCCTCTTCTACAGAAATATGGCTCAGATCTCAAGAGTTCAATGGTTGATGGCTGATGCTACCCTGTGTGGCAGTCAAAGTCTAATGGTGTCTTATGTCACATCCAAAAACTGACAACTTGTGCTCTGAACAAAGACATCCAGATCACCATACAGGATCCCAGACTGGTTTCCCAGGTTTCAGGGAACTCTTGGTAATTTAAACTGATATAGAAGCAATTTGGTTTCTGTTTCCTAGTGGGATTTATCCTCCTCAGATCTTTGATAGTGTTGCTAGCAATTTGTACCAGTATAAGTTTATCAGCAGCAGTCAGATCTAATCAGATCCTTCCAACAAGGATCAGCTGCATGGTCTGTCCATATCATGTGTGAAAATTAGGTCTTGTTTTTTCTAAGCTAATAGATCATTGCTGAGGAAGGCAGACATACAGACAGGGTTAATTGCGGGCAGGCTTTACACTGAAAACCATAATCTCAAAAAAATGATTTAAATGAAAATCAAATGGAAACAATCACCTTTTGAATCTTTGATCCCATCAAGCAACCATCTATGTCTCCTGGTAAAAGATTGGATTTAAAAAAGGTTTAAAAAGGACAAGACCTTTGAGGGTCTAGGGAAGTGACTTAAAGTCGGTTAATGCAAACTGCAAAGGTCTGCTTAATTTATTTAAGTTATGTGAAATGAGACTTAAAATTTCAAATGTACAGATTTTTATCTTATTAATCAGTTGCTTTCTGATATGCTATTGATCTAGCCTTGGTAAAATACTGCCTATTATTTTCATTGTCAAAGGGCAAAATATTTAGTTTCCTTTCCTTTTTTTATATTCTGGACAGAGAGAGAAGGGAAAAATTGTTTATGTTTGTATCATCCTTTGGGGCCCCAAGTTTTTACAATGGCTATAGAGTATAAGTCTACAACTATAGATACTGGTTAAATGCCTGGAAGTCTGTTTCCTGATCTCACACAGCAGTGAATGTGTTGAACCTTCAAGAAGACTCTTATCAGTAGAAGATCTCCCTAATCTAGAATAGATGTTCAAATGAACAATGGCACAGATGATAGCAACAATAGAAACAAACAACAGCAAATATAAAACAGCAACTCATTCACAATATTATAACTAAATAACAAATGAACTCTAATATTCTCAAAGAGATCCAATGTTAGATGAGTAATTCAAAAATAAAGATAAATGACCTAAAAGCAGATAGAAACAAACAAGAGAATTCAACTAGGCATTGAGGAAAAACTGCAATGCTGTAGAGGAAAACAATGGCTGAGGGATAAATAAAGGAGCCATATATGTCAAAGAGTCATTACCAAGAAACTTAAATCCTAAAGAGAAATTGAGATGCTTGGGAAGGGGAAGAACAAGTAAAATTGTTGTAAATGGAAACCACAAACCTGCCAATAAAATACAGTGGAAAGTGAACCCAGCAATACTGACTGCTGTGAAGACAGAATATCAGGCATGATGGATGCGATTTTCAGAGCACAGCTTGAAAATATCAATAAAAATGAAATAAGTAATAAACATGTCCATGGCATCCAAACTCTGAGATCTTTTAAATAGATCAATGCAAGAACACATGGGATAGGAGGTACTAACATACATACTAAAGACATGGGGATTTAGCAGAAACTCCCTATGTTTGTAGAAGGAAACAGACGTTCAAACACAAGACATTGAGATTCCTTAGTGAAAAGGGTGGAAGCTCTCCGTGGCACATTAGAGTCAAAAGGTGAAAATAAGTTGAAGCCTGACCGTGGACTCATAAAATGGACAGACACAACAGTTGGCATTTCTCTATCTACTTGACTAGAAAAGTAAAGAAGAGGAAAACAAATGTCTGTAGATACATAAAGAAGGAGGAAAGTTTGCAATGACTTTCACATGTCCGTGTATACAATTCATTATTTTCAAAGGAATTACATGTGCACAGATGAACTTGCACTGTCAATGCACTTTCATGTAGCCAGAACACTCTCAGCACAGTCACACAAGTACTTACATCATGGCGTCAAAAAGATTCGGTTTTTTCTTAAAAGGTATCAGGAATTGGTCTTGTAAATCTTGGGTGACGTAAATGGGGATAAATGCACCTAGGATTATGTCAGCATTCATGTAGGTGGTGGGATTCCAGTTATTGGAACACTTCTCATCGATCATTTCCCCTATTGTAAAGAAATATTTCTGGAGTAGGAAGAGACTAAGAAAAAGAAGGGACATGGCAGGGGCTGAAATACACAGAGACAATGCCCT